CCCCCCCCCAAACACAAGTCCTTCCTCTATTCCTTCAGGGGATTGGTGGTTTCTGTGATTGTCACACCATTGAACCCACCAAACCAGGAGCTAAACTCAGACCAGTTTCTCTCTGACTATGAGTCTGAGCCCCAGACATGTTCCTTTGGCCTTCAGACCACTCGTGGAAGTCATCCATCAACTAGATTAGGAAGACTTTGGGAGAAGACATAAAAATCCCACCCACGAAACAGATACCCTGGCGTAGTTGGACCTAAGTCCAGTGGTGTTCACAATAAATTTAACCCAGATGCTTGAAACATTCCCAGAGCTTCCCTGTTGGAAGTCCCTAGGTGGAGGGCTTTGATGCTGCCTGGACCCTATGGAGTTGGCGGCCTGGTGAGATCCCCTCAGATAGGCCCTTCATGAAGAGGTCTGGGCATAGGAGAGTCAGAACCCACAGATTCCACAGAACAGGAAGGATCAGCACAGCTGTCTGTTTTGATCCACACCCACACCATCCGCTTTGCCATTCTTCAAAAAGCAAGGAGACAATAAGAAACATGTCTCTACTTCTTCCTTCTCCTATTTTCCCTGGCAGTGACCGATAGAGGTATGTACACAGGGGAAAGAATTAAGTAGAAAATTACCTTTGTTCACAACAGGACTGGTAGGAAGTGCCCTCTGTCTGATAGGGATCCCCATCTCCTCCCCCTGGAAAGGGAGGCATTCCAGCCTCTTACTCACCTCTGCAGGTCCGGCCATTGGCCATCATGGTGTAGCCCTGCTCAGGACAGGCACATTGGTAACTGCCAGGGACATTGACGCAACGGAAGGTACAGAGGATGCCAGCACTTTGGGTGCACTCATCAATGTCTGAGGAAAAGATCGAAAGCCACATTCAGCAAGGAACCTGAGGAGTCATTAATAGAGGTATCTACTGATCCCTCCCCTCAGGCAATCACAATAGCACCCCACCCCTCTATGACATTCTGTACTTTTCACAGCCCAGTGCCCCAAACCATAGCCAGTTATTATGATTAATTTTAATTTTATTCTTTATTTTTAATAATTTATAATAATTAATGACAATAACTAGTATTTATATAATACTTTAAGGTTTACAAAACTCTTTATAAATATTATCTCATTTGATCTTCATAATAATGCTGGGAGGAAGGTACTATTATTATCACCCCCGTTTTCCAGATAAGAAAACTGAGGCAGACAGAGGTTAAGTGACTTGCCCAGAGTCATATAGCTGGTGAGTATCTAAGGCTACATTTGAATTCAGGTCCTCCTGACTCCAGTCCCAGTACTCTATCCACTGCACCACCTAGCTACCCCAAATCTGACCTTATTGCTTTACTTTTCAATCTCATTACATCTTTCCAACATCTTTGAAGACTAGAGGGGACATATATGTGTGTATCTATGGATGATCACCCATTGGGTGAGTAAGGAAGAGGATATGCTAGATTACTCTAGGAATCCCCTCCAGTTTTCTGATTTTGTGAGTTTTCTTGATGAGTTTTACAGCATTTAGAACTGAAGTACATCTAATCCAACTCCCCTCCCTTTCCCATTTTCCAGATGGAAAAAACTGAGGTTCAAAGACCTGTAGTGATTTGTCACAGATCATCCCATTAATGAAAACCAGAATCAGGATCTGAACACAGAATAGGTAACTCTAAGGCCAGGGCTCTCCCTTACACTGTACTGAATTACTTGGCAAATTTAGGTCAAGAGTTTAAAGCATGTCTACAACCTATGGCCCTATTTTTGCCTGGCCTGAGAGCTAAGAATGGTTTTTTTACATTTTTAAATAAAGTTTTGTTGTATTTAGAAGTATAAAAACCATTGTTAGTTTGCTAGGGGTACTAAAACTGGCAGAGGGCAGCTTGCCCCATTCCCTTCCTCCATGGTGGTACATGGAAGAAAGTGATAAAAGGGGAAACAAGGGCACAGAAAAGGTACAATTGGCCACTGTCCCCTAATGCCCAGCCCCTCCCTGAACACACAGCCCACCTTTACACGCGTGCCCATCCTCTGCGAGCTGGTAGCCTTGCCGGCAGTAGCACTGGTAGGAACCGTAGACGTTGGCACATTCCTGGCTGCAAGGGTTGTTTTCGCACTCATTCACATCTGCAGTGGGGAGGGGAGGAAACAAGTGACAGCCTTTACCAACAGGTTACAGACTCAGCAAAGGGAAATCAGGTCCCAGGCTGTTCTTCCCCACTTCCTTTTTAACCTGTCTAGCTTGTATCATTTTGTTTGTTTGTTATCTCCACCAGATTGTGAGCTCCTTGAGGGCAGGCATTGCCTTTTGATTCTTTTTAATTCTCTAGGGCTTAGCACACATAGTATGTGCTTAATAAATATAGGTATGTAGCTGACACATAGTAGGTACTTAATAACTTGTCATTTGTTCTTTCTTCTTGAAGAGGACCATGACATCAGGAAGATGATGCCATAAATACTTATTGATTGACTGACAAGATAACCCAATGTCACTATGACAAATTATGAAAAAGCATTGGCTTTTACCATGGGAAGGGAGAACCAACTATTAATAACAATGCACATTTTTATTAGCTTTAAGGTTTACAAAGATTGTTTACAATGACCCTTTGAGGACAGTAGTCCAAGTATTGTTGCACCTATTTACTGTGTAATTTACTATTATACGCATACTGTGAGTCAGGTCACACAGCTTTTTATGGGCCAAGCCAGGATACCTAGTCCCATGTTCTTTCCATTTTACTCCAAACCACCAGTTCAATGCTTACGTTGCCCTAGAGTTTCATTCTATCAAGGTCAGCTTCAGGGAACAAGTGGACTGGGGGCCAGGGCTTGAGAGCTTTAGTACTGAAATCTGTGTTGTAAAGAGCTCAGTTAATATGGGATTAAAACTGAGTTTAGAGTGACATTCCTGAGTCCAGCAATCTCTCCGTTTTTGTACGAATGGACCCATGTCCCAAGTGTTGGCCAGTCCTTCTTGCTAAGCCAGGCAATGGGAAAGGGGGCTATGGGTTTTTCCCAGTATCATAGTACTATACTGCTTGGCAGAGGAAAGGAGCTAGGAATGAATAAATATCTGAAATGCCCAGTTTTATCCTTTTTCCTCTCTACTCCCTCAACACAGGCACAGACATGGCTTTACCCTTATGTCTCAGGGAAAATAAGCAGATCCTTATTATTATTATTATTATTATTATCAATACTAATACTAAGCAGATCTTCTGTGGAATGTGAACTCCTTGATGGAAGGGATTGCATTTGTCTTTTTTTGTATCTTCAGGGGTTAGCACAAGGACCTGGCATGTAGTAAATGCTTAATGAATGCTTGTTAATTGACTGATGGATTGATTGAAATGCCACATCCTCATGCCATTTATCCAGGTGTGCAGAAAGACCACAGGAAGAAAGAAGAGGCTAGTAGGCACCTTCACAATGCTTTCCATCAAAGGCCAGCTGGAATCCAGAGGAGCAGGAGCAGCGGTAAGAACCAGGGGTGTTTTCACAGGCTTGCTGGCACAGGCGTCCTGGATAGCTCCAACACTCATTTACGTCTGTAGGCCAAGCCAAGGAAAAACAGGCAGACTCAGTGAGACTGGGAGACATGAGAGAGAGAGAGAGAGAGAGAGAGAGCAGATGGGAAGATAGGAGCAGTATCAGGGATTGGACCCACAGTTTCATAGGTATAAGGAACTTCTGGGTGAGCATACTCACTTACCAATGCGAATTGGCAATTTTTTGGAATTTATAAAGCACTGAGAAGATGTGATTTGCCTGAGGTCACACAGCTGATAGGAACCTGAATCCAGATCTTCGAGATTGGTTCTTCATTGACTATGTCAAGCTAATGAATTAGAAAGAAAGAAAGATGATGGATAAATAGAAAGATAAAGGTAGATAGATGGATGGATGGAGAGATAGATAGACAGACAATAGATAATAGAGAGATGGATAGATAGATAAGTAGATAGATGGATAGGTGGATGAATGAATGGAGAGACAGAGAGACAGAATACAAAAGATAATAGAGAGATGGATGGATAGATAGGTGAGAAGGGGAAGAGAGAGAGGAGAGAGAAAGAGAGAAATACACAGAGACAGAGAAAGACATACAGAGATAGAGAGAGACAGAAAAGGAAATGGAGAGAAACAGAGCTGGAAAGGAGAGAAGGAGAGAGACAGAGAAATGTAGAGCACAGCGGAAGGAGCACTGACTGCATCTAGGGTAGAAAGATTGCCATTAGATTACTAGTTCTGCTCCTTACTAGCTGTGTGACCTTGGGCAATTCACTTCCCTTCTTTGAGTCTCAGTTTTCTCATCTGGAAATGGGGGAGGCACAGGCCTCTCTTTACTTCAAATCCTATGCTCTCAAATGAGCTAACATATTTGCAAAAACACTTTTTAAACTTTAAGATACTATAGAGATGCTAGCTTCCTCTCTCTCCATTGCACCATGCTGCTCTTCTATTCAGCAGAGCTGGAAAGAATGAAGCTTGGTGAGTTGGTCCCTTAACCATTTCTGAGTGTAGATGGTGAGTTGTGGCACATGGAACCATTTCCAAGATGATTTAAATGGATAGCTTCTGGAGCTGGAAGACAACTTTGATAACATGTAGTCCAGTTCCTTCATTTTACAGATGGAGAAACAGGCCCAGAGAGAAAAGACTTACCCGATATTACACAGATATGAACTAGTACAAGATTAAAACCTGAGCCCGCTGATTCTCCAAATTCAGTGCTCTTTCCACTAGACCACACAATAATCACATCATTTTCTCAAGGGAGCTGGGCACTGGCCCATCACCCATCGTAGAGGTAAGAGAGGAGGAGAGTAGGTCTGGGCAAAGAGGGAGGGGACTCTCTGGAATCTCACATACCAACACAGGATCTGCTGAAAGCATCATATTGATAGCCCATCTTGCAGTCACAGCGGTAAGTCCCAGGAAGATTGTGGCATACCTGGCCCTCGCCACACCGGTGGACACCTGTCTCACATTCATCAACATCTAGAAAAGCAAATCCCAGGGGATGGGTTAGAGGCAGCCATCACCAATCAGGAAAGGGTCCCTTGCTTTTGTTCTGATCAAATCAAGGAGCAGATATTCAAATTCTTTCCCTTCCCTTCCCTTTCCTCCTTAATCTGGGGCACTCTTTACGGCCAGCTGGTGGGTCTGGAGTGGCTGAGACTCTCAGAATCAAACTTTAGGGCAAAAGGAATCTTAGTGATTAACTTGTGTGAGCCCTTCATTGTACAGATAAGGAAGCGGAGACCCTAAAGAAGGCAAGTGAATTGCTCACAGTCTCCCATTCAGTTAGCCAACAAAGCCCCAATTTCTTGTCTCCCTGTCCACTGCTCCTTCACTACACCAAAATGCCTCTTTTCCTATACTGCAGGATTCTTGATTTTCTTGCCAACACCATGCAACCCAAGACAAGTTGCATTCTTCACATTCACCTAGCCAGAACATCAACCCGAGAATTGTTAAGTTGGCATCTATGAGGTCACCCCCCTGAAAGGCCTCCCAAATGTGACACAGTCAAGGATTCTCCTGGCCCCAAACACAGTTCCTATGCTTGCTGCCCACAAGTAGGTGAGCACGTGCCTAAGGCTGCTTCTTACCCACACACTTGGACCCATCCTCGCTAGAATGGTATCCCCGGGTACACAGAAGCTGATTCCTCTGACAAGTGTAGGACCCAACAGTGTTGATGCAATTAAATCCAGGCTTGCATGGCTCAGGAAGAGAAGTGCATTCATTAATGTCTGAAAAAGAAAAAAATCAGAGTATTGGGCATCAGTTCTTAAGATGATCTCACTCAGCCTTTCTGCTGGTTGTCTTGCTTTGATTCCAAGAATCCTAAACTCATAGGATGCCAGAGTTAGAAGGGACATTAGAATAAAATTTCAGAGTTTTATGGGACCTTAGGACAAAAAATTAGAGCTGGAAGAGACCTTAGAAAACAAATTAGAACTGGAAGGGAACAAAATGTCAGAGCTGGAAGGGACTTTGGAACATAAAATACTGAGCTGGAAGGGACCTCAGAATATGGAGTATCAGACCTGGAAAAGACTTTAGAAATTATTTAGAGTAGGAATTCTTAACCTGGGGTCCACTGACCTTTTCAGGGGGGCTATGAACTTGGACGAAAATAAAGTTACATCTTCATTTTCACTAATCTCTAACTAAAATTTAGCATTTCCTTGAATTATGAATGTGGGCAACAAACCACAGTAGTATTAGCAATACTCATAAATTTAGCACCAGTAGAAATCACAAATATTTTCATATCACATTAGGGTTGTAGATATTTAGAAATGTTAATTACATTCCTCACTACCTCAAAATTAATGCAATTTTTAGTCCAGAAGTTAGATCATCCATGATCATAGTTTTCTTATCTCCAGTTTGTATTTCAGTAATAATTGCCTTCCTTTGTAATCCTATGAATTTCATTTTATGGCTATTAAAAACATTATTCTGAAAAAGGATCCATAGGTTTTCCCAGAGTATCAAACGAATTCATCTATGAAAAAAGTGAAGAATCCCTGATCTAGTGAAATCCTCTCATTGTTCAGATGAGGATCAGAGAGGAGAAGTGACCCAAGGTCACACAACTGGTAAGTGACCAGTTGGGACTAAAATCCAAATCTCTGCTGACTCCCTATCTAGGGCTCTTTCAATTATGCTGCTTTGTCTGTAAGTGACACATCTACTGCCAGGAACATCTGAAATTTTGCTTATTACAAAATGTGCACCAGCTCTTTGATAAGTGTTTTAGATAGTACCTCTCAGTGGGTTACAATCACTTTGATATCTTTTCCAGATATACCTTCAAGGGAGAAAGAACTGGCTTAGGAGTCAGAAGGTATCATTTGAAGAATATCAAAAAGCTCCCCTGTGCCATAATATTCCTCCAACCGGCCAGCCATGGGACCTGGAATTCTTATCATTAGTGACCCTTCTAAGTCAAGTAATATCAAAGGCCTATGTTAAAGTTTGTATGCGATACCTAGGCAGGTGGTGTGTAATATTAACATATGACTGGGTTATTATTACTGTAACTTAGGAAAGACAAAGTCTGGGATGGGATATAGGAAGGTGAATTTTGATATGGTGGTATACAGGGAGGAAAATATCTGGATCCTGGTATACTTCCTGAGAGGCCAGGCTTGGATAAGAGGCCCCAATGAGTGCCCTGATATCTAGAGAGTAGCAGAAAGGTCCAGGGTGTTTAGTAGAAGGAAAGGGTCTGAATTGGAAGAAGTAATAATGGTTGACCTTTCCATAGCTTCTTAAAGACTCATAGAATATTTATAGACCTAGAGTTAAATTAACTCATATTTACAGAGAGTTTTAAGGGTTAAAAATCATTTGCATCACACTGAACCTACGAGGTCAGTGGGGTAAGTATCATAACCCTCATTTTACACATGTGGAAATTGAGTCTCAGGGAAGTGAAGTGACATACTCAATGTTCATACAGCAAATGAGGGGCAGAGCCCAGACTTAAGCCCGAGTTATAATGTTATAGGATCAGAGATTTAGTTTTAGAAGGGACTTCAGAGGTCATCTAGTCTAATGCCTTCTTTTTAGAGACAAGGAAACCGAGATCTTGGACTTTTCCAAGATCATACTGGTAGTAAATGTTGATTCAATAGTCCATGCTTTTTCCAATATCCCACTAATTCTTTTAAGTTAAAGTCCAGTAAATACTCTTTCCACTACCCCACAGCATACCTTTCATCTGATTCTTACAATCCTACCTTGGGGAGGTAGGCAGGGAAGCAACTGTTCTCATTTTACAAATGGGGACATGAGAGTTCTCAGAAGTCAAGGGATTTCCCCAGCACCTCACAGATAATAAATGATAGAGTTAGGACTTACACCAAAGTCTTCTAGTCCCAAGCTCAATTTTCTTTTCACTATACCACACTGCTTCTGATGGGTCTATGGAAACTGTTTAGTGGAGTGATGTTGAAATATTGGAAGTGGATGCCAATTCACCACTTTGCTGTGTTACTGAAAGCTGGTCCTAGCCACAGTCAGCTTGTGAATGGGGTTAAGAGCTGAAGGATGAATGTGAATAGGGCTGGATGCCCAGGCCAAAGCTGCTGGAGTGGGGCCAGGAGACTTACACTTACCCACACAGTTGCCCTCTGGGTCTTGTAGAAACCCAGCCATGCAGCGCTGCTTGGATTCACAGTAGAAAGAACCCTGGGTGTTCTGACACACAAAGTTGACTTTACAGCTGTGGGTCCCCTGGGCACACTCATCGATATCTGTGAAAAACGGACAGGAAGCAAATAGGTGGTTACTCCTCTAAGGCTACCTTACCAGCACCACTAATGAGGAACGGAGGGAAAGAGCCAAGGGCAACAGAAGGGCCTTGAGACAAACTCTAAAGCCAGGGTCTGAGTCAACACCTCATAGAACGACTTTTATCGAGTCAGGCCATACTGATTTCACAGAATGGTAGCTCTAGAAAAGACCTCAGAGATTATCTAGTCTCTCCCCCTGCCCTAATTTTACAGGTAAGGAAACTGAGGCCCAGAGAAGATAAGTGAAAAAAGCAGGCCAGAGCCTGACCTGGATCCCAGATCTCCTGCAACCCCGTCTAGTACAAGACACAATGTCTGCCTCTTCACTAAAAGTACAGGGGTTTGAACCTTTCCATACTGCAAGGACCTGCCATTTTGTCAGTGTGGATATTAATGCCATGAGTTGAAATGCCTTCCATTAGCGGAATGTAAGCTCCTTGAATCAATCAATTCAACATCAGTTATTAAGTGCCTGCTATGTGTCAGGTATTTTATTTGGTTCTGGGAATATGCAAACAAGAATAAAACACTCCCTACTTTCAGAAAGCTTACATTGGTGTGTGTGTGTGTGTGTGTTTGTGTGTGTGTGTAACAATGCATACAGTAAATAATACAATCTTTGTATCTCTAGTGCCTAGTACAGCGCCATGTATATAATCAATACTTACTAAAAGCTCATTGAACTGAATGGAAATGAATTGAATTGATCCAGGTGAAATGATCCCCCCAAACCCTCTTTGGTTTTAGTAGATAGTCTTGGAGAGTCTCTGTGACCAAAATAAAACCCATCACCCTATGACCAGTCTGGTAATGAGACTCTTGTAAATTAATTAGGCTGGTCCTTGGGAGACAGACACACAGTCCATCACCAAGTCTGTGCTCACTGGATGATCAGTCTAGAACTTGAGGCCATCCAGTCCAATCTGGTCATTTTGCAGATGTGTACCTAAGCCAAGGGACATTAAGGGACTTGTCCAAAGTCACACAGCTAGTAAGTATCTGAAGCTGGATTTGAACCCAGGTCTTCATGACTCCCAGTTTTGAACTCTATCCCCTATTCCATGTTCCCTCTCAAGGTTCCCCCAGGTTGGTGGCACCCACTGGAGCTTGTGTTGCGTTGGCATGGCCTTTGAAGACTCAGTGTCACTGCCATGAGCAGTGAGTGGTAAAAGCCAATGGAGGCTTCACTGTTACTCCTTGGTACAAGTGGAGCTGGGTTTTAACTCATTTCTTAGTACAGATTTCCTTGTCACTCTTTATTCTTCTAACATAGCATTAGGGGTGGGAATGGATTAATCTGTAAAAGCAAATTAAATACGCATATAAGAAAAAAAAATGAAAGCCATTTGCTGAGCTCTGGATCCTCAACCAAGGCATTGTAGGTGTCTTTCTTACCTACACACTCTCCTTCTTTCAACTCATATCCCGACTCACAGTTGAGATCTTTGTAACAGTGGAAGGACCCCACTGTGTTCACACAGTGCTCGCCTCGGCTGCATGTGTGTGTGTCCGTCACACACTCATTAATATCTAGAAGAGGAAAAGGAAACAAGGAGAATTCAACAGCTTGGCTCACTACCATCAAAGGATAGCTTCTGAAATCCCAACAGAACCAAACTGCTTGGACTCAGGTCAATTAGCTCCCGAGGGGCTCCCTTGCCAGGATTCTATTGTTAGGCCCGTTGCTTTGCAAAATCAGCTTTTTTCAGTGCCATCATTTTCAGGGAGTAGGGGTAGCTTTATTGATTACTATTAAGCCTTATAATCTAGCCTGACTTGGCAGTGGGGGATGAAACTGGCTGTTGAAATTGTGAATATGACCCTGGAGACCAAAGAGAGGTTCGGGGTATCCTGGTACAGAACAGTGTGGTTGCTTACAGGAGACACTGTGATACTTGATTTTGTCTCATTGTTATGACTTCAGGGAGGCATTTTGAGACTGGAGACTACTGACCTCTAAGACCCCTCTACTATAGCCAGGGGCCTTGGCTTTTGAAAGGGTAGGAGAGATACAGTTGGGCTCACCTCCTAACATCTGTACACATCTGGCACTACAATAAGGCCAAGGGTAAGAAATATTGACCCTGTGCCTTGTAAAGAGTCATTCAAGGTAGGCTGTTCTTGTACTCATGGTTGACTTTGGTCTTCTTGACATTCCTCACACATGATACTCCATCTCCCCACTCTGCCTTTTTGCTGGAGTGCTCTCCCTCCTCATTCCTGCCTCCTGGATTCCTGGACTTCCTTTAAGATTCAACTCACATCCCACCTGAAAGGTCCTAAACAGTTCCCTCTGTTGCTAGTACCTTTCCTCTGAGTTCATCTTCTACTTACACTGTATATATCTTGTAAGCACATTTTCCCCCCACCCATGTCATCCATTAGCATGTAGGCCCCTCCAGGTCAGGGTGTTTTTCTTTGCTTTAGTAACAGTTGGGTATATACTTATTGGTAGCTGGGAATAGAAAGAGTTAAGAAATGGGTGGGGGGACAGATGAGAAAAGTTTAAAGGCCAGTGGGAAGGAACCTGGGAAATATTAAGTCCAAAACATGCATTTTACGGAGGGAAAAACTGAGGCCCAGATTGAGGAAGAGATTTGCCCAAGGTTATCCAGTGTGTCAGTGGCCAAGCCAGAAAATGGAGTCAGTCTGCCATGTTGAATTCCTTCTTGCATGATTGTGAAGGTTCAGGGCATGGGGTTTAGAAAGCCCAGAATTCTGAGTTAAATCTTAACTGTGACACAGGGAAACTGGGTTTCTGGCTAAGCCAAGACATCATAGACAGCACAAAGAATAGAATGTCCATAGAGGGCTCCATTTTGGTTATCCTATAATGAACTAAGAAGAGTCACAGCATCATTGATCTGGTCTAACCTCCTTATTTTATAGATGCCTTGCCAAGGTCACACATGACTGGGATAGGAATCCAGGCCTTTGGACCCCAACGCCAGGGTTCTTTACACTACGTTAAGTGAGGGGGACCTTTCTCCCAATGATGTCTAGGGACCTAGACCTTAACCTGAGGGCTAGTGAACTCTAAAGAGATCTCCTTTTCTAACTGCTTTGAGCTTTTCTTTATCTTATCCTATTACTTCTGGCCATGCTACACAGCCCTGGAAATAGAAAGGCTTGGGAAGGAGAGAAGAGAGAGCCACTCACATGGGTAAAAATTCTGTTAGCCTGCTGGAAACCCCTCTGATCTCACCTGCCTGGGGCTAGAGGAAAATGGAGAAGACAGTCCCATGCAAAGGGCCACCCTGCCTCTGCTCTTTGGGTCCTCTTGGGCCTCCTTTCTGGGGCACAGTTATGGGGCCTGGAAAGTAAGAGGGCTGGGCAAGGACTGTCTGCAAGCAAGGTCAGTGTAAGGATCAGGCCTTCTAGATTCTGAACCCTTCAGGGCCCAATACAGCACCAGCCACCTGGGAAACAGAGGAGAAAAACACTCTCAATCCCCAAGGCAGTCAGGGCAGAGGGTCCTGAGGCTACAAGTAGATAGGGCCTTGACAGTTTCTTGTCTCCCACTATGGCTGAAGGGTATGGTTTTACACAGAACACTTGGAGCTGCTATCGGAACCTCTTAATAGAGTAAAGATGAGAGAAAGGTTGGTAGGGGAGAGTAAGAAGGGGGGAGGGGAGAGGGGAGAAGGGAGAGGGAGAGAAGGAGGGAGAAAGAGCAGGGAGAGAGGCATGAAGAGGAGGAGAGGGAAAGAGAGGAGGGAGGAGGGAAGAAGGGAGGGAGAGAGGGAGGGAAGGGGAGAGAGAGAGGGAAGAAGAGAGAGAGAGTGAGAGAGAGAAAGAGAGGAGGGAGGGAGAGAGAGAAGGAGGGAGAAAGAGCAGGGAGAGATGCAGGAAGAGGAGAGGGAAAGAGAGGGTAAGAACGGGGAGGGAGAGAAGTGTGAGGGGAGAGGGAAAGACATGGAGAGAGAGGGGAAAAGAGAGGGAGAGAGAGGGAGGGAAGAAAGAATAAAGGGGGGAAGGAAAGGAGGCAGTGAGGGAGAAAAGGGAGAGGGGAGAAATAGAGGAGAGAAAAAAGATAAAGGGGAGGCAGGAGAAGGAAAAGAGGGAGAGAAAGGAGAAAGAGGATGAGGGAAGGAATGAGAAATGGAGAGGGAAGATGCCAAGAAGGGGGGATGGAAATTTGGGGAGGGGGAAGGGAAAAGCAGAGAAGGTAGAGAATGGGAGGAAAGAGAGAGAGAAGAAATCAAGGAGAGATAGAAGAAAGAGGAAGAAGGTGAGAGGGCAGGGATGAAGGAAGCGAAAGAAAGAGACCAAGAAGAGTAGGATGGAAAATTGAAGAGTGAAAGAGAAAAAAGGGAGAAGGAAAAATAAGAGGGGATGGAGGAGAAGAGGAAATGGAAAGAAGGGAAAGGGCAAAGAGGAGAGAAAGCTGGAGGAACAAAGAGATAGGGGAGATGAGGGGGAGAGAGAGAGAGAGCTAGAGCGAGTCACAATGAGCCTTTGAGAGAAAGAAGCAGAGCCTCCGAGGGTGAGTGACTGGGGAGAGGGAGGAGGAGAAGGAAAAGCAAGAGTGGGCAATTTTCCTGAGTGTTATTTTAGAAATGTCCCTGACTCCAGCTGAGTGGGATGTCTGCATTCTCTTCAAAGAGGAGAATGATGCAGTTCTTTTACCCTCTTGGGAAAGAGGGACACAGCAACAGCTCAGTCGATGATCAGAATTTGGAGTGAAAAGGGACCTTGGAAGCCCCTGAGTTGAACCCTCTCATTTCACAGACAAGGAAACTGAGACACAGAGAGGTTAAGTGACTTGCCCAGGGGTTACACAGCAAGTAAATGTTTGGTGTGGGAATTTAACCCAGGTCTTTCTGACTACAAGTCTGTTACCTGGTTTACTACGCCAGGCTGCTTTCCATCTTTATAGCACCATGCAAAGTAGACACTGCTGTGTGTTATTCTGAGGATACCCAGCAGCCTGTGTTCTGGGTTCTTAGTGGCATCTAACACCCGAATCATATCTAATTCAATTTTGAATGCCCCATCTTCCCCTGAGCTCAGCACAGTGCTTAATTTCTCAGTCCAGACTTGAGGGGTTAGCTATCCATGTGAGTGAAGATACATTTGCAGGTTAAGGGAAGACAGATGTTCCGAGTAGAAGAGGTAGGTGAGCCTTGTCTTGGCAGAAGCCCAACTCCTGGCAGGAGAGGACAAAGGAGGAAGCCACTCTTAACCTCACTCCCCTTCCCCAAAAAAGGAAGGGCCATTGGATCGCTCCATTCTATCCACAAAGACCACAGAGGGTTCGTGTCCCAGTCTACCAACATATAGGACAAAACTTATTTTCGATGACTGAAATGGATCATATATCAAATGGGAAAAGCTCATGCCAAAGTGAAATAGTACTGATGAACCATACCCTAACTTGGGACTGTTTCTTTCGTTTCTCTAGGCAGATTTAAAAAAAAAAGGTGCCCTGAATTTCCCCAATCAGAGCTGATTGGGAGGGTGCTGTCCTGAGATCTCTCCCCTAGTGGGGCCTTACGTCCTAAAGTCTCTCCCTGAATTTGTCTTTTATAAAAGTTGATTTGAGATTGTATTTTGTACTGTTTGCCCCAGGTGTTAAGACTGCTAGTTAGAACTCTTTCCTCTCTCATGGAGACCTGGTTACTATAGACTGTCACAAATCAGGCAACAAAAACCACCTTGTACTCTATGCCCTAGGCAGAAGGGATTGCTTCTAAGAGAGAGAGCTTCTGGAAATGGGCCAAAGGGGGCTTCTTTTCAAGAACCTGCTCCCAAAACTAGCTGCAGACAAGATTCCTTTTTTTGAGCCAGGCCTTCTTTCCAAAAGAAAGCCTTTCCAGAGAGAAGGCAGGGTTTAGCCCATATGGACAAGGCCTCACGGAGGCCAGGAGAAGACTAAAACTGGTTATCTTTCCTCCCATCTTGCCTAGAATTCGTAAGCCACCTTGGCCTGCACAAACATTTTAATCTCTGATAACTTGGATGAAGGAAACTCCTAAGGGAAAGATACTTCTGTATGGCTCCGGTGGTAAGCAGTCTTCATTGAGATGATCACTCTTTCAAACGTGCACATATTGACATTATCTAACACCAGAAAAGGGCTAAGACACATCATTTTGCAAGCAAAGTATGGAAGCAGTTTGCTTGTTCTCCCCACTCCACCCCCCAGGCTCAGCATGGAGCCCTGAAGCAGTGGTTGGCCCGGGGTTTCTGGGGACAGGCAGACCTTTGGCAGACACACAATGGCTCCCCTTGGGCCCGAGATGCTGGGCCAAGTAGTGGCATTGGGCCTATTGGCCCCAGAGATGCAGAGACTGGTGTGGAAGTGGGGGCTTGGTGAAGTAGACAGGACATGGGTTGTTCATACTTCATGTTTTCTACAGACATGGTGGGCAGCAAAGGAAAATGAGGACAGGGACCCCCAGGCCATAGGTTACACATCTACTATTCATATTCTGATTTGGCCCTTGTCAGGAGTAGGGTGGAGAACATGGTGCTGGGTGTTCAGGCTTGGTGTCACAGGTACATTTCATTAGAGACACAAACAGAAATAACCCCAAATCTGGGTCCTACCCAGAACCACAATGAGAGCCTCAGTAAAGTGCCTAGCATTCCAACAGAACACGTGATTAGACAGAGATCTTGGCTGCCTGACAGGCTGCAGATGCCTTCAGAGGGATTTCTCAAGCCTTTGTATCAATCTCAGAATGATAAAATTTGAAAGCTCAAAGCGACTTCCACAATCATCTCATTTAACCCCTTCACTTTTCAGAGCATGATACTGAGGCTGAAGTGGAAAGTGACTTACCCAAGGTCACACAGCAAATCAATGCTTCCTCAGATACATAAAGCAGGCTGCCCCTGCTTCTGGTTTTTTGTTATCTATCTACTACCTACCTACCTACCTATCTCTCTACCTACCTATCTGTCTGTCTGTCTATCTGTCCATCCATCCATCTGTCCATCCACCCATCCATCTATCTATCTATCTATCTATCTATCTATCTATCTATCTATCTATCTATCTATCTATCTATCTACCTACCTACCTACCTATCTATCCATCTAATCTATCCATTTATTTATCTACCTACTTTATCTGTCTGTCATGGCCTATGAACAGAAATTTACAGAGAGAAGGTGATTAACCAAATCGAGAAACTCCAATGTAGTTTTTGGAGCATCTATACTTCTCATGTATCCAGGCCCAACCCTGGATCAATGTCTCCTTACCTAATGGATTGATTCATCCCCTTGGTCACCCCAGAAGGGAGCCTTCACCCTCTAACTCTCCACCTGCTTCCCCTGTCCATGCTTGCCCTTGGATGTGGACAGGACAAAGCTCAACAGCACAAGACATAGCAGTCTAAGCACATGGCAGGACGAGCCACATTGATATGTCATATGCAAAGGCGACCGAGGGACCCTTTAGCATATGAAGGTGGGATGCGCGGCGTGGCATAGCATGGAGAGCTGTGATGGGTGATGGGATGTGGCTGGTCAAAGAGCCACTCTTGTCTTACCCACGCACTTCCTATGCATGTTGAGGATAAAGCCCTCGGCACAGATCACTGTGTGGTTGACACAATAGAATGATCCCAACGTATTCACACAAAACTGTCTTCGGGTACAATCGTGAGCACCTCTGAGGCACTCGTCCATGTCTACGGCCCCACGGGGGACACCGGGAGGGAAAAACAGAAGGCCGTTAGAATGGTACTGGAGACAGTGGTTGGCCTGTGCTCACAGACTGAGGGAGAGAAAGTGCTCATGAAGCCAGCACTGAACCTGGGCTGGCCTTGACCACGGCAGCTCCCAGGCACATCCTACTCTTCCCCCAGGACGCATCAAGGAGATTAGTCTAGCCGGGAAGAGGCAAGGCTAATCATCACCTCTCTCTCTTCAAAACATCATGTATGTATTACTTAATAATATGAATAGCGAACATTTACATTAAGTTTTATGAAGCACTTTGCAGGTTATTTCATTTGATCCTCACCACAACTCTGTGAAATAAGTGCTATTATTATCCCCATTTTATAGGTGAGGAAACTGAGGCAAAGATTAAATGCCTTGCCTAGGGTCACACAACTAGAAAGTGTCTGAGGCAGGATTTGAACTCAGGTCTTCCTGACTACAAGTCCAGCACTCTAGTCACTATGCCAACTAGCTGCCTCTGCTTAATTATTATTAATTAATTATTATTTTGTCCCAGTAGAATGTAGCAAGCTCCTTGAGGATGGGGCTGTTTTTGCATTTTGTTTTAATATCCCCAGCATTATTTTATACACAACTTGTCTGCCCATATTTGTTTGCACGTTGTCTACCCCATTAAACTGTGAGCTCCTTGAGGTCGGGGAATGTTTTTTGTCTTTCCTTGTATCCCCAGGGCACAGCACAGTCCCTGGCACATAATAAACACTCAGTAAATGTGTGTTGGCTTGATTTGACTTAACTAGCATAGTGCCTGGAACCGAGCAAGCCTTAAAAGAAATGCTGGTTGAGGCTGGGGTCTGAGGAAAGGGTGGAAGAAGGAAGACGCAGAAGATTAAACATATCTCTTGGGTATCCTCTGAGGGATGAGGGCACTGGAATTGGGGGAAATGGATGACATCTCAGAGGAAAGAGCCTTTTGGGGAAGCATATATGGGATTTCTGGGTGTTGGAACATGGCTGGACCTTTGGCCCAGAGTTATACCCAGAATGGAAAAGAGGCCTGGGAATCACCCTCCCAGGTCTAGGAGAAGGACTACCCATTTCCACCACGACCTGCTAGCCCCTGAAAAGAACACTCAGAGCGTCCAAATTCCCTTTGTCCAAGCACATCCTGTCCTGTCCTTACAATGCAAAGCTGGTTCTTACTCTTCTTTCCCCTTTCTCAGTTTTTCTTCTGTGTCTGTAGTTTCTGCTTGCCCTCCTGACTCCCTAAGTTCACAGCCCCTATCTCAACACCACCTAAGACCATGGTGAGGAGCGGGGGCAGGAGGAAGGATCACATTCTGACCCTGCCTCCTCCTTTCTTCCCTGGGCATCTTGTGATGTTGTTAGTGCTCTCCTCACCAGCCCACCAAATCACTTCCCATTTACTCTGGATCTGTTTTGAATTTATCCATTTGTGTTCATGTCATTCCCTAGCACAGTGCCCGGTATATCCATGGGCCTTAATACACACTTGTTAAATTCAATTTCTCTTCCCAACCTTCCTCAGTCTTGAGGACTCAGGGATACTGGGTAAGGAGTGGGAAAACAGAAGACCTTGCACCTTAGCCAAGACTTGCATGCTTCAAACTCGTAAGGAAAGGTGATCAAATTCTTTCCTGTCTTAGCCCATCTTCTCTTTATAGCTCCAAATTCTCAACCAGAGCTCAGTCAAACCCATGGCCCGTAGGGAGGGCTATGCAAAGTTACCAGCCTCACCTAAGACTAGGAAAGAAACAGAGACAAAAGCATCTCCATGCATTCCTATGGTAGTCTGGTAAGATAAGGCCACTGGTAACAGCACAGCTTCTATCAGAAGCTCTCACTCAAGGCAAACTGTCTAATTTTCACCCTGGCCTGACTGCCAGTCTGACTTGAGCAGGACATAATGAGTAGCCTTTTTCTCTTGGACAGGATAAACTTACATGTCTCAAGCTTCCCTGATCACCCCTGGCCCAAGCTTTTGGATTTCATATAGACATTTCTCCATCCTCCTGGCCCTTCACGAGCTTCTAGACTTGGATCCTGCCTCCTTTCGGTCTCTGGTCTCTATGGTTCTAACCTGCAGAGGCCTCATCCTTTCAGTCTATTCACATGCAGATAGCCTTCCCCTAATTCCTCCAACCCGTCCCATCCCACACTCACCTTCACACGAGACTCCATCAGCCATGATGGCGTAGCCAGGGAAACATGAGCACATGACTCTGTTCTCTATGATGTTACACACTTGTTTACAAGGACCATTGTCTAAATCAAGGTAAAAGGTGGGCCAGGTTAGATGGAGGTTACATGGGGACCCGCTCCCCCTTGCCTTCTCTCTACTCTAGCTTAGTTCAGTTATTTATCACTTATCACCTGGACTATTTCAATAACCTTCCAATTTGCTGGTCTCCCTGTTTGTAGTCTCTCCTCTCTCCCATCCAACCTCCAAACAGCAGCCAAAATAACCTTTCTAAACACAAACTCTGACCCTGTCACTCCCCTGCTCAAGAAGCCTCAGTGGCTTCCTATTGCCTCCAGGATAAAATACAGATGCCTCAGTGTGGCATTTAAAGCCCTTCAGAGTCTGACTCCAGCTTAATCTTCTCACATTACTCTCCTTTTCACACTGAGCATTCCACAAACTAGCTCACTTGTTGTTTATTTCTCTCCCCTCCACGCTTTTACCTGGGAAGCTCCTCATGCTGGAATGCTTTCTTTCTCACCTCTCCATACCTAGCTTCTTTTAAGGTAGAACTCATGTGCCACTTTCTACAGGAAGCCTTTTCCCCATCCCATTGATAATTAGCACAATTTCCCTCTTCCTCAAATTAACATGCATATTCTTATGTTTGCATTGTTTAATTTTTCATTGGAACTAGGGATTGTATTTAAAATTCTTTTTTTTTGTTTTTGTATCCCTGGCACCAAGCATAGTATCCTGCATACAGTAGGTGCTTAATAAACATTTGTTGAATTGGATTGGGACTGAGATCATCTGTGCCCCTGAGAACACAGGAGCATAGTGGGACTCCTAAGTATGTAATGATTGTCCCAACTAGTTAAAGGGGTACCCACCTGCTTAAGGCACTGAGATTGCCCCCATTGCATAATCCCAGCTACTCATGTTGGCATGCTGGTATTTCCTCCACTGCTCTCCCTTTAGACCTAGAGCACTCATTATGAATTTGTTGATCTATCTGGTCATTATTATTATTGGTAATTATGATTTCCAATAAGAATTACCAATAGTAGACAGAGCATTTCCTTCATGATGCTGTGAGTCAGGTAAGCAAGTATTATTACCCCACTTTACAGATGAACAGCCTTGATATTAATTTAGTACTTTATAGTTTGCAAGGTACTTTATATACTAAATTATCCCATTAGATCCTGCACAATGAGATAGGTACTATAGCAAGTATTATTATCCCCATTTACAGATACAGAAGCAAAGACTCAGAAAAACTAAGGGCTTTGCCCAGGGCCACAGAGCTATGATTAACTGGAAAGATTCAAACTCAGATCTTCCTGACTCCAAGTCTAGCATGTCATTCACTATACCATATGATGAGTAGAGCGAGCACTTAAACCATTTCCTTGTTTCTGGGTTCAGTGCTCTTTCTAACATGCCCTCCTCCTCCCAAACTACCACTTTCCCCTCCCCACCTGCCACCACCTTTATGTACCTTTGCAAGTGTTTGGAACTGGCTGAGGCAGATGCATGACTTCAGGTTGGCTGTGGGGGGCTTCAGGGGCTAGGGGCCCCTCTTCTCGAGTGCTTGGCTTCATCATTTCACTATCTGTCAACAGACAAATCAGAAAGAATGTTGAGGGGAAAGAGGAAGAGGCAGAGAAGAAGGCGTCCCTTCAATCACTTAGCTCCTTTTATATATGTAACAGACCACTGGCCAATAGGGGCCCAGTCCTGTGACCACATACAGAGACTTGGGGAGCTTACTTCCAGATATGCCTGGAGGTACATAAAGGAAGGTTCTGCCCTCTTTTATTGAGGATGGTACAAGTGTATTGTTAACTGTTTCCCATCCATTTAGTGCATGATGAAGAAAAGCCTTTTAATTGGCTGCTGAGTCAGAACTAAGGGCACATAGCAAAGTCTCCAAGGCAATCTCTCAATCTCTCTCTCTCTCTCTCTCTCTCTCTCTCTCTCTCTCTCTCTCTCTCTCTCTCTCTCT